AATGAATCTTTCAACTGGAAGTGGCGTTTCTCTATACAAAATGTGATTTTATCCACCCGCAGAAACGTATTCCAATGATTGCCATTGACCTATGAATATGTGTTGCTGTTTGAAGTCATTTCCGGTGAAATCAAAGATTGGCTAGGAAATCTTTTCGGCCGTCCATTAAAAATTACTCAAAGGAAAACAGCAAAAGTTTTGTCAAACGCCAAGTGCGAAATTCAAAACTATGTATTTCTACATCTGCGAGTTGAAAACCGATTTTAATTATCTAGACAGTACAATTTCAGATGAATTATTTGTGACAAATAGGAATGATGAAATGGCAATATTCGATATAAAGTTACAGTAGATGGAGAAAAAAGTGCGCAGCCCAGGCCCGTGTAATGCAAAATACATTCAAAGACAATTAATTGAGACATCAACCGTTCTAATACCATATCACAACACGTAAGTGGCACATAAACCATTTTTAACATTCATGTAATTATATAATTAAAGACATGTTGGTTACATTCTGTTTGTATTTGATAATACAATGCTACTAGTGATTGCTATATAGCACACCTTGCAGAAGATAATAGTCTAGTGAAATGCCTAATAAACATTTATGGCATTAAGCTAACCTTAACTGCAAATTTTCACTCTGATAATTTTTGCTTGATCTTTGGCAGAAAAAAATTTTGAGTTTTTCTCAAAGGGTGAATTTGCTGGCACTGATGTGGAGATGGGTAAAGAGTTACAATAAACTTGCATGGTTTGAAGTCTGAGCTTTTCTATATCTATGAACTGTCACTTGTAGTACCAAATTTCTAACTTAACTTATTACATAGAGGTTTGAATGGGGGTCTCTAGGGGGGTCTATGCCTGACAACTTGGTAGAAATTTTAAAGAATATATCTGTTTTTGAATAGCATTATTGTAAAATAAATTTACGTTCCTAGACATGCTAATGAGCCATATATTTGGCATGATAATGAGCCTAAATATTTGGCAAAACATTCAAGTATTGTTCACTTTATTTTTTTTTTGAAAAAAAAACGTAAGAAAAATGTGTTGTTTTTACGCAAAAACGATGCCCACAAAATACATTTTGTATTGCTCTAAAACGCTGAAAATGGCATTTTCAAGACTCTGAAATTCAAAATTTGTCAGGGGAGAAATGCCTCAGACCCCCCCAGGTGCGGAGCGCCTCCGACGTTTTATGACTGATGTTTGAAAAATCCTAGATCCGCCCCTGGTAAGTGCTACGGTTTATTTGGGCATGCCTAAATATAATAACTGTTTAGCGTTGAAATATCACGCATGTTAAAAATAACTGTAAATATAGCCTTAGAAGTAAACATAAATATATAGTTCCGCTTGCTCGCACCAACAGAGCGAAGAACTCGTTCATCCTGTCCTTGTGTACATAAAGTTACACAAAGTGGCCAGGTATGGAGTTTTCTTTGTCTCTGTTGGTGTTAGCGAGTACCATTTTTAGATACTTATTTTTAGATTTTTAGATACTTTTTTTAGATACTTATTTGCTATTATAATTTTACTAATGTAGATATTTGCAATTCAGCCGCAAGGCTGCAATTAATATTTTAATAAACTACCTACCTACATACCTATGTTAAAATAACCGTTAAAAAATGGTAGAAATTAATTTTAAGCCAAAGGAGATATTGACGGATAAAATATACCCGTAAGCAAGATCTCTCCAAAATCTGTTATCTGCGTTAAAACACAAGCGATATTTCTGAACTATTTTTGAATTTTCTGACTTTATTTAACGGAAACAGCATAGTCACTGCTTTTTTCACCCACCGTACAACCTTAAAGATCTAAATAGTACAGTTCCCTGTCCATTTTAAAAGTTTACTAGCGTAGCCATCCGGCAAATTTCTTCATGCTATTTAAATTTTTTATACTTAACAATATTCACTTCTTTAGAAATCAGTTGTTTTTACAGTGATTGAACACCAAAATATTAAAAAGCGTGAAAAAATTTGCGGGCTGGCTACGCCATTGCGCTTATCGTAGACTATAATAATAATAATAATAACAATAACTTTATTCAGCCACGGAACTATTATTTATTATTATTATGACTATTATTATTATTTAAAAATACTTAAAAACGGTAACTCTTCAGGGCTCGTGGGCTCGTGTTTTTTGCAAGAGGTCGTTTACTTATTAAACTTACAAATTTCAATACAATAATAACTGTAATTTAGGCGAAAATTGTTACAGGCTATATTAGATGAATGCATGCAAGTCAAAAATATTACATACTATAATAAATTGCAGATAATAACCTACAGACAAACTAATTAATTTGCCTGCACTACTTTATCTAAACAAATATATCCAAATCAAATAATCAATCTGATTTACAAAATTGGTTATATTTGGCCAAGTGCCGTCGATAATACGTTTAAAATTGTTGAAACTTATGCATTTTTTTCTTATATTGCAGTCGGTAAACCATTCCAAAGTGATGCAGCTGAACTGCTAAAACTCATTTCTATTTCACATAAAAACTACTATCTCACTAAAGTTACATAAAAAATATGAATGTGATCTTCCATTAGGCCGTGCACGCTAACAATAAATCATAATGAATATCCTATACATCATAATAAATATTCGTTGAATTTAACCTAAGAAATCAACATCTTACCATTTCACAACCAATATTGCTCGATAATTATGCTACAAGTACAATACACCAGGTTCACTTCAAAATGATTACTTCAATCAGTGTCATAATTTATTCCATAAACATTCCTGTTTATCGTACATGTGTCCTCTATAAATTCTGCTAGCATATTTACACAAATATATTATAATACAAAGCGCCGTTTCATACAAATAACGATACAAAAGCACATATAAATACAATTCATTACACAATCAATAGGCAAAAATGCGTAGATTAAAGTTAGCTTCTAAATTGTTAGGTCACATGAGAGTAATTAGTGTTTCTTTGTCTCGCTCCTTATCTGGTACCATTCAATATCCAGTTCCAGTCCTCGGATGCTCGGCCACGTAACATCGCAATTTATGCATGTGGTTTAGGGATGATGTAAGAAAAGGTCGGACAGTGTTGATCTCCATTCCCGTCAGGTTATCCAACTACAACATGCAATAATTTTACTTCATTCAAAAATGAAGGAATACAATTAACTAATGAGTTGCTCCATGTTTGGAAAGAGTTCCCATTCCCCACGTAATAAACTCAAAGTTGCGGAAGAAAATCCCACGTGTTTAAACCCTTAATTTATCTTCATAAAAAACGGTGTGACCGAAACCTATTTTCACCCACACAAATGCACGTCTTTTTTGGTGTAAATCTTTTCCAGCTATATCCTAAATAAATCTATCTGTATTAATAACAATCCAATCATAGCCTTAACGTGCAAGCCAAGTTTCCGCATATGACAACCAGCCGAACGCGCATTTCTAAACTGCAACATACTATGTCCAACGTGAAATATGAATACTAATTTTCTTATTTTAGTTATTAACACTTTTTTGCAAAACTGTCTGCTCTTTCACTAAATGTTTGTCTTCCTAAACTCTTGCACGACTTGGATTGTCCGCGCGATCGTTTCTACGGCTAGAATCCTTTGATCTCATTATCTTTATATTATCTTTCATGATGTAAAACGTTTGTCCTTGCGAGGAAAAGTGACTCATTACAATGCTGTTGTTAAAGCTTTTCTTTCCAGTTTGCTCCATCACTAATTTGGGAAGTCACAAGTCTAATTAGCTCAGTTTACTCAAATAGTAATTAAGCAACTTTTTCCTTCTAACGTTAGATGGTTTTTCTTCATTACAGTGTCAAGAGAGCGTCATCGTGCTCCGAGCAAGGATTTTTCTCTCTTACGTCCTGCATATAGTTAAGCTCAGGCATTAAAATAAGTGGGTTTTTTACACATTTTGTGTAAAATGTGTCCTTGTAAATGAAAATACGCGTCCTTTTGAAATCAATACTCAGCTTGGCGTTATGTGGTTTTTTATTATCCCCAACTAGCTACGCAAGTTTGTTGAAATATTTATTCAATAAATGAAAGAATTGCACGCGGTAAGTTTCAGAAGGTTCAACCACAACAGATCAATGTTCATGTGCTGCCATATTCATTGACAATTGTGGTAAAAAGGTAAGGGCAACTGCTGCGCTTCTTATCATAGTTCTATTGTTCTCCAGCCGTCAATAAAACACCAAACCTGGATTGACAGCACACAAGTGACACAACAAGTAATGTCGCACCAACACTAGGACAACGTCACACGTTAGCTGTTTTACTGCAATGATTCCGATTATTGCATTTGAATTTTCAGTTAACTTCAGACCCTTTTAGCCGCGGTGAATAATTTTGACTCCGGATATTTTATCTACGCCTTCCAATAGAAATAATGAACATAACTGTGTTGTTTTGCAACGTCACCCAACCAAACGAAAATCTCGTTCAGTACGACATTTCAGGGCGTGATCGACATGATATTTCTACTTTGCCTTTCAAAACAACTGTCGATATCCTTAGTCATGGCACTTTTCAGGCGACACGCAGTTAGGATAATTAACAAATATGCATGTTTATCTTACGTGAACGATAAGCTAGGGAAAGTATAGATATTATGTAGAACAACCCCTTGTTTAGCTAACTCAACAAGTTCGTTAAAGCTACAAATACCATTTGAAGTAAACCTTTTTGTTGAAACCTGTTGTGGGGATCAAACTGCGTTGTTTGATATACCGAAACAAATAACAGGTTAATTTAACCCTGCGCCATTTGCACCACATTTGAGAGTTCCTATAGGAATTCCTATTCACTGTTTAACTCTTTGCTAGGTGTTTGGATGACTTTATTAAATAGCAAAGCATACCTCGCAATTGGATTAAGTTACCAATTACTTCCAGTGCCACAGTTTGCTCCGATGATTGCAACAATATTACCTTGGTCACATGATCAATGAAAGTAAGTAAGACACTTTTAAATGGCTGCTAATTCATCAATCTCGAAAGCACTTTTTTCAGTATTGATAAAAATCTTTCATGAATAGCAATTGAAAAGTTTCTATGTACATTGTTTGCGATACTAGCTTACTTGTTGTAAAAAATTGACCAACGCGTTTGAGGTTATTGATTTGGAGACATTTATAGATTCCGATTTCAATGATAAAAAAGCGAGCCGAGCTGAGCTAACGCCATGGACATAAAAACGTTTTCTCCTTAATTGATGCTGTTATTTCAACTTTTATGAACACTAGGTTGTTATGGAATCAGAAACCACATTCTTCAAAACGACTTCCAAAATTTCGTTCTTCGTTTCCAACTCGATCAGTCGAGTCGTCAAAACTTTCTAAAAGAAACATACGTGAAACATTACGCGTTGCAACTGCAAAAGTATTTCGTAGCTAACACTAAATGTCTACCCTTGTATGAAACGTACAATGCAAAGCAATCTTGTCAGTATACTATAGTACAACCTGGCAGACGTAATTACCAACAATGGATTTGCGACTCTACTGGTTGACAAGACTTTTTATAAAAATTGTCAATCGAAAGCTTTATAAAAGTTTTGCAATGTCACGGAGCCACTCTCATTGAAATGGTCCATGAACAGGGATGCTTGCACACCATTTTGTGTGGGAGAAGGACGTAAGTATATTTCTGTATACTTCTGGCTTATTTATACTAAAATAATTAATGGCATACCACAACTTTTGAAAGTTCTTGAATGGCTCCGATTGATTCCATTAGCAGTCGGTCCTGTTGAGAAATAATAAGCAATTATTGGAGGAGGTTGAGCATGATATCGAGGTCAATGTTATCTGCCGAAGACAAGCTGAGGCGGATAAAAGTTACCGAGGTCTGAATGATTCTTGATATTATGCGAAAGATGAATTAAAAATATTTTTTTATTATTCACCTCAATTAACTGAAACTTTATTAAAACTGATCAATGTAAAACATTTCCAAACCGTTGCTAATTTGTCTTTGTCAAACGGTTTTTTCAAGTTCTTCTCGATTAAATATGCTGTAAATATGTTCAAAACCAGCCTCGCCCCTTTTTTTAATGTTTCCTGCATCCTTTTTGTTTAAAAGCTTTCGCATATCGTTTTTAGAAACTTGGCAAACATCGCTATTATTATATTTTTTCAAAACCGGCTTCTAATGGCGTCAACAATTGTAGAAACTTCTATTTGTAGGTAAGACGTTATACCCAGAGCCTTCATACCGAGAGATATGGAGAATTAGTTGACCAATCAAAAACGAAATTGTTTGCATAGTGAATAATAATAAAGATTAATTGGGTTTCAGTTCGGAATTTGTATCACCAAGTTGAACATAGTGGCGCAAAGGCATTTGATTCATCATATTATGAAGTTCAAACTAACTCAATTATTCTTACAACACTCAGATCAAAAAAAGTACCTCGAAACAGAGTTTTTAACCACAGCCATAAAAACCGCGTCTTCGAATAATTATACATGAGGTAACTTTTAATAACCATGCACCCCCCACTCAGTGAGTGTGATCAGGAGTAAGCTTTCACAATACAGGCATACAATCATTCCGCTTTTCTTCATATTTTAATTGCGTTGTGTGGTTGTATTAGCTGTTATCGTTAAATCTTTGCGCTCCATTGATATCGTGCTAACAAGAATTTCTCAAGCAGGAATAGCCTGAAACACATAATTTCACGATAATTAAATCTGTTAACACGACATATATACCTTGCTGATCATTGGAACATCTTTCAAAAAATTTCCATCTTGCAACGGGATATCAGTCTGGAATAAACCAAGAAACCAGAAATGTAGAAAAATCAAACAAATTGCAGCTAGCTCGTAAAATACACTATACTATAAAAACAATAAAACTCGAGCGCTGTTTGATTCATTACCCGAGTTTGCATTGCATTTGAGCTTAACAATTTGTATCAAAGAAAATTTGACAATTAATGATAAATACATTGATCATTTTAGAGGAAAAATTAAAAGGCTTGTTTTAAATTTATCTGTTTTGCATTATTGTTATTTTATAAAAAAAAATGAAAGACGTTCTTCATGTTTTGCAAAGCCCGAGAACGAAGATCTATGGTTTACACCAGCTCGAGAGTTCTTACAGTCGTCTCAGAGGTCCCGGAGAGTTCTCAAAAGCGTCTCTCCGTAAACATTACTTATTTCGCCGTAGTTCGAAGCCAATACTTGATCTGATGTCAACTCGAATTGTTCCAAGTTTTGCATATTACTTTTACCGAACTTATCTCAAAAGAAATTCACTGAAATAGGTAATAACCCGGACTTACTCACTTCAACTCATCTGTAATTCTGAATACGTACAATAGTGCATGGCAGTACATGCACAGCCGTTACAAAAACACACACTTAAATCTCGACATTAAAGTTGACAACTGACACGTGAACAGCATTTGAGCATGGACTTACGCTCTCAGTAACAGCGTCTGGTACCATGGCACGAAGATCACTTCCCAATACTCCCAAATTTTCGGCAGTTTTCTCGGATGCAAGTCCAGCGTGTTGTAGGAACATCTTGTTGTAGCGATATCGATACAGCTGCATGTTGTTAACGTTCTCTAGGTTTTCACGCGTATCCGCCTGTAATGAAAATGTCCGCTTCAGTAATTTGTTTTCTCGACAAAATTCAAACAACAGCAATTTACAACATATAATTGCACGACGGTCCATGGCAATTGAACACACTTACGCATTAAAATCATGAAATAGCTCGCATTACAAAAGGCAGGAAATACGTTATTCCATTGACATATTAGGAGCCGATATTTCCAGAAAGTTTACGAAACAACATCAGAAGCTTTAAGTCCACACATGCAAGCGGGTAAAGCAGGGTGTAACATGCTTTGCACCAAACCTGTTTTAGGTCACATGGGCAGTTGATTATTTTTGCTATTGGCTGTATGTAGCTCAGGCTGCTCAACTACGTAACTTTGCCACACCAAGAATGCCGAGATCAATAGCACGATGTACGTAGCAACATGATTTCCTATTCTATTCATCAATTCAATACAAGTATGTCTTTATCTCTTTACCTGAAAGATACCTTCGGTAAGTCGAACATCAGATGGTGTTAGCCATACGCCAGTTGATTTTATATTTCCATTTACAGTGAGGGGTTGATCTGGTTTGTCTGTGTTGATACCAACATACCCCTATAAACATAAAGTACATAGATTGTTTCGACTGAATAGCGCACATATACGCTAAACTACCGCAAATAGAAAGTTAGACATGTTGGGCGATCTATTTATGATCAGAACTGAATGACCCCATGCATCATAGAGAGAAAAAAGCACGTTTAATAGCTTCAATGAATTGTGAACAGTTGAACAAATGCTAACGAAATCGTTTCACAGATGTAGCTGCAACATGCCTTGCTCAACATACCATTCTGTAAACACTCTCGCTACTTTTGTCTTTGCACCAGAGAGCAACATCGTTTTCAAATTGCCCCGGATTTGATGCCTTGACGAAAATAAATTGAGAAAACATCCATGAATATTAGCACGTCTTCAGAAAATGCGTGCCGAAAAAAATCATCCATCCATTATACCAGGAGAATTTTTAGTACTGTGAGTAGAATAAAAGAAGGATGGGTTATGGAAAAATGTTCCTTAGAGTCGGCAAGTAATTGAAACATAACAAGTAGAAAATTTCGTGCAAGGTAATGTGTCCAAAGGTATTTTTCAAAAGTAAAACAGCATATGGTGAACTCCAAATTATAAGAACCCTCCCTTGTCATTCATTTACAGTATACTATAACCTAAATTTATTTGTGTAATACTAGGTGAAATGCTTAAATTGGTATGATGACATTATAGATCTAGGTTTATCATAACATTTTTTGTCACTTTCACAAAACATTTCAAAAGTAGTGTCTTTGAACCTCAATGACAAGGATGGTCAAAAAATTTGCAAAGCAAACGAATCGATCGAATGACTCACCCTCACAATAACTCTTTCGGAAACTTGTCGACATATGCAGTAATTTCCTTCATTCGTGTACGCACGAATGTCAACAACCAACTGAAAATATCTAAATGTGTAAAAAACAATAAGGTTGTTGTTGAGCAAAATGCTTCAATACAGAAAATGTGTTTTTCTCTATTGAAGCAAGCGAAAATTCACTGGAAATTGTTCGAAATTAAACAGCCGTTTAAAGTTTTAGAATGAAAGTCTACAATCAATAGGAAGTAGATGGAATGTTGAGCCGAATTTTTATCGATGAAAAATCTAGCTACTGCAACGATACTGTTATCAGAAAACCGTTACATGAATAGCATATTGGCTGATAAAAAAAACATGGATTAGTTACTTTAACGACTCCAGAAGCAGCTCCTGGTACAACAAGACACCGATCACAAAGTGTATTTTGCACTAACTAATTATGTGCTAACGCAGAATCCTTTTTAACAACAGTCTAGCGTTTTAGTGAGCTATCTCATGTTCAACAAAACGATTTCGATCCGCAAAGTGTTCAACAAACACAACTTTCCTGCACGAGGAAATCTTTGGATGTTATAAATTCATCACACATACACCATAATAAAATCACTGTTTTTAAACACTTTACTTAGCCAGTAATATTAAACGATAAAAAACAGCATATTCAACGCAGAAGGATATTGACCGAACGTGCTTCAACGTCGATATTGGTCCACAAAGTATAAGGTGCCAAATGCCCTTGAATAACCACTGATTTATGATTACATACTTCTCTGAAAATATTTTGGTGAAATATGGCAGCAAAACGAAACAAAAAAACTGACACTGTTTTGACATCATTGTTCGAAACCATCAACATTTTTCGTAGCTCGTTCAACAGCAAGGCTTTGTTAAATTCAAACACAAAATTAAGTACGCTTTTTTACTCAAATCTAATCATCACTTAAAACTATTTATTCAACCGCAAGCGCGTGACTAGAGCGTGATTTGCCAAAAAAAGAAAGAAATGAAGCATAAGAATTAAAATAGCTTTCCTATACCAGTACGAAGCTGCACGCATCAATAGAGCACAATTATCTAAATAAGATTTGGATGAAAGCAGTCTAATGAAACGTTTGCTGAATTCTCGAGAAGTCTTTAGAAGTCTACGTGCCAGGCACTTCTATTTATGGCAGAGTCCAGCCCTTGAACCGCACGCACACGGCGAATATAAATGAAGACATGCACTGTGCTCATTCAAAACGACAAAAGGTCGTAGACGAGTGCAGACGATGAGAGACGTTTTGTGGGAAAGACTTTCTATGGTTGGAAATTCAAAGATATTTGCCACAGAAATTAGTGGGGTTACTCTCATTTTGGTCTCAAACAAAAAATACAACGGAAGTGTCTTTATCATTTGACTATGTTCTTTGAGAGTTGTTCGAAAAGACGAAAGCCTGAAACGTTCAATGCTATACTGATATGGGCCCAAGACACGAAATATCACGATGAAAATGAACTGGAAGGTACGGCCTATTGATAAGCATTTAATTTTCTTTCCTTTATTAGCGCATTTTGCTAAACAATTTCTCCATAACATAAACACGTATTACGCCAGCGGGAATGAATTTTTTCAGTGTTTGAATCTCAACGCACTTTTGAATCTTTTTACGAGGAAACACGAAAGCAAAAATACGTCTAAACTTCGCTAGTTGTTCATGATTCCGTTCCGTGACAGTGAGTTACGAAAAGCAGAGGCAAGAAGTATAAGTTGTTGCTTTCAATATGGTTGTGGCAGACTTTGAACTCGTCTGGCAAATATCTCCTTTAATTAAAATCAAGGCATCACTTTTAAATTTCCGTATGTTCTCGAGGTGATTCGAATGCTAATATACACTTGCGCATATATGGGATCTTCGTAGCAATAAAACGAAGGATTTGCTTTCCGAGAGTATGATTCGTGTAGATGCCCTTAAGTTATTCCAACTAATTATTTAGTCATTATTACTGAATTTTCTACCTTTGATCTGGATTTATCTTGCCCTTCTTTCTCATATTGTTTGAAGTCGTTTCACTGCAAATGTAAAAAAAATCATTCGTACTTTTCGATTTTACTTGACACGTAGCAATTGCTACGACAGCACTTATGAAATCAATATCGGGTTTTTGTGTGACAAACAAGAAGTGCGTTTGTGCACAATAAAAAAGCCGGACAAACCGGTGTGAACAAGTTTCAAAAAAATGTAAGCGAAAGAACATATAACATTTATGCAATATTCTATTCTACGAGCCTTGTGAGCCACAACAAATACTAAAATATTTAGAGAAAAGCGGTGAGCAGTCAGTAAAGACTAACTGCGACAATTTCCTCAAAAAACATTGACAGCTTTTCGAAAATATCATCTTAAAAACTGGTAAAATATCAACATAAAAACTTTGTCGAACTGCAAACGTAATTCACCTGAAATGTAAACGACCGATTGTCAGCGTTTTCAGCGGTGATCCATTGGGAAGTCTATTGTATAAAGACAAAGATACACATCAGAATTTTGTTGTTTACTAAATTTACCTGCTAACAGCAGGCAAGCTTATCCTGGTCGGTTGCAAAAATTTACAGGTCTTCTTAAAACATTCTGAACCGAATAGGTTCTGGTCCGAAAGTTTTCACAGATATTGTGAGCAAACGCCACATTTTTTCTCTGCGTGGTTTCCGTTTGCACACATTCATCATTTGCGCAGTCTAGTCGATAATTTGTACAATAAAAGGCACCATGGCATATATACAAACAACTTCATGTTATTATGGCTTACCTCACTGGCACATAAGGCCGTTTTGATCTATCGGCACTCGACTGCTCCATTGTAATTCTTTTTTGTGGAGCTTCGGCCTAAAAAGAAAATACATTTCATTATAAAAGAACGAAACAGCTCGCAGAACAATACAACACCAAATCAGAGTTCAGGAGAACTAAAGCTTCACGCTCGTTCTTGATAAAGAAACTTAACTAATTATATAAGGACAATGGATTTTATTAAGAACACTAAAGTTTCATTGTAATGAAACACTTCACACAAAAACAATGTGTAGCTGCTATAATAGAAGATTGGAGAATCCATATATGACCTCAAGTAGCTACCTTTATAGCGTATAGATGAATTTTAACAAAATTCACTGTTTCCAAAGCATCCTGTAGTAAGATAAGAAATTGTATAATTGATTTGTTAATCTTTATAATGAAAAGCAGCATAAGCGTCATGGTTCACTCACATTCACTTTCACAAGAGTTGAATTTCCAATAACCATTTCCAGATTTAGAGAAATCTATATGATTTTGAAAAAACGACACTTAATGCTACATAAAAATGTAAAAATTTAACGCTAAAAAAGGGGAAAAAGTACCAGCACAAAACAGGAACGAAGCAGTGAAGAGAAATCTAGAGGCATAAATGGTTGAAAATGATTCTTTTTCTGGCATTTTTCTGCCAGGAAACGAGTCGTTTTGACCTGCTTTATGCCATTGTCAAAACAATGTCTCACGAAATCTCGAAACCTATCGCATCTTGTGGATTATAAATAGCGAAATATTTTGGTTCCTTAGCTATTTATTTCATTGTAATTCAATAGATTTAAGGAGAATGATTATCTTCACACTGAAGCGCCGCGAGAATCATTGCACCCAAATATAGCAATCTTTGAGAGAACTATAAAAACAACTTTCAAACCTGAAAATGGTTCTTTTTCTGGCAGATGAAAACACTTTCTGCCGGGGAAAAAGTTAACCCTTTATCACAGGTGACATGAAGACATGGCTCTTCCCTAGAAACAGGAAAATATCATAAAAGCCATAAGCTAACTGTCAAGTAGATTTTTGATTTTGAAGAACCAAAACCGTATCTTCAAACAACCTGTTTATCATGAAAGATTTCTAAACGATGTAGATTTTCATACAAGAAAATTAATAAATGCTTACGATTGAACAGAAGACTTGTATATTTTATGCCATTCTTCTATATCACATTGAGTCCATTTGATTGATCTTTGATTTTGTGGTTGAGAACATTCACCCAAATCACCTGAAAACAAATAATAATACATTAGCATATAATAAGTTTTGAACAAGTTTTGAAAAAGTGATAAATGTTTTACATATTTTAAATGTATAATGTACACCACGGAATTTCATAAGCACAAGCGACAGTTTCGTAGTTGACGACAATTTAGTACAACAACGCACGAATTTAGCACGAAAGCACACACTACAAATCGCAAATCATTTCAGAACAAGGCAGATCGATATTGAAACTGTGCCACAAAAACATGAGAAAGACTTCTAGGTACAGACTAGTACATAGAAACCGAACAAATCAGTCTTGCCACAACAGAAACATTGACGGCTAAGTATATTACGACGCAAAGCTCATTAATGTCTTCACCAATGTTGACTGACACAACTTCCTGAATATTTTAAAGAAAACGAAATGATAAATAATAAGAAGCCAAAACATTAACTCACTTTGAGAGTTGCTTTTCAATCTCGTCCGTTTTTTACAATCCCCTTCACTTTCAATGGAAAGTTTGCGTTTATTGTTTGAACTCTGCAAAGGACTAAAGGAAACATAATTAAATTTATTATATGTATTTTCTTTTGAACACACTTATTTGACATGAACTGAATAGAAAATTTATCGAAAGAAAAAATCATCGCCACCGGCAGCAGCGCTGAATTTCACCATTTGAGATGAAGTTTCATTGATATATATATAGCTGACACGCTTATTTAGTCCTGCTACGTAAGATTTTCCGTGTTATTCTCAATTGGAAACAATAAATTCATAAACAGTTTTAATATTTACATAATGAGACCAAAAATTGTAGACTGGTCACACTACTGTTCTTACTACAATTCATTCTCACATTCCGCAACATGATAGCATGTCTTCTTTGCCCACGAACTATATCGCAGCTCATTCATAATCAATGTTAAAATGTGGTATTTCAAAAGTAGCTACAAAAACGCAATATGCTATAGCGTTAAAGGCCTTTTCTATCATGTTATTTTGATATTTCTTTTGTTTAATGTTACCTCTTAGTATTTTTTCTATTCATCATGCACACTACAACTCCAGCGCTTGAAGAAGCTATGTAAGAGCTAGTTTACGCTTAAAAAGAAGTATGGTTTTCGGATGGCACGTGGTAATTACGCAAAATTCAGATTGCACTGAGCTGCACCCGGTTGAGTGCAGCGACATCCGGTACAAACGTTAAACAGAAAAGGGGTCAAACCGATTGGAATTCTTCGTATGTACCAATTTTGTACAAAAACAGAAATGTGCAACGGCAAAATGTGAAACAAACACGATACCGGTTTTGTAAATGGCTACAACATAAACACGAGACTTGTAACATGAGCATATACTCACTTTGTCAGTTTCAAATAGTGCTCCAGTTCTGGTGCATCAGTTAAACAGGCTTGCCCAGAATCTAGTAAAAACATTTTCAACGTTAACTCATTCCGATAAGCTTAAGATGGAATAAATTAGTCCACTGCAAGTGAGACCACGATGAAGTACATAACGAGATACTGTAGCACCTTGTTGAAATTGTTGCAATGCGCTTATGTGTGATTGCGACAGGATGTTTGGTGAAATAAGGAATCATGATGTTTTGAACATAGGAATCTCGAAATTCAACTGTGCGTTTGATGAATTTGGAAAGAAAATTTAATTTTCTATGCATTTGAACCATTGTCAAGGGCGTCTTTGAAACAGTCTACTAAGTTTTGGCTTGATTATTGAAAGTTTTGCAGATGCATCGTCTGTCCAAGATGCAATGTTTGTCATCTAATACCATTTACGGCATTTTCCGATGTCTCGAATACCGGTGGAGTTTATTCTCTATATAGCGAATAAACTTCGTTCATTTTTGTAAAATACGCAAAACGCTGAACATTTTATAATTAAGATGAGCTCATAGAAGAAGTATATGCCTGGTTTGCGCATGAAATTCATTGAAGAAAACACGTTTTCATCGACACTCGGCAGATGACGACATAAAGGAGAACGCGTCGTAGGAAACCATTTGCAGATATTACTTAACTAAATGTGTTGCAGCACAAGAACTACAAGTGGAAATGAAGAGCGTTAATGTAAGAAGCAATGTACGGCATCCGATGTGAAATATTTGACTGCTGTCCAAAAAAACACACATGAGCCGTGCATAAGACAAAGTCCGGCATCAAATGACGTAAAACTTCGCAAATCATTGCAATCATCACCCTTCACCAAGTATGTTGCGGCAGATAATAGGTGTGGAATATCGCTACAATTAAATATTATCGGTTTATCGGTTTCAAACGATATAACATTACAACGTAAGATAAATGTTTTCACGTGGGTTTACACGTGCACACCTTCATTAGTAAGCCTAAAACTTCATCTCATCAATCAAAACACACCAAATCCTCGTAATAAGTCAGCCAAATTATGGGGAAGACGCTCTTTGAAAACTCAACCCCTCACCTACCTGGCCTGCTTCAAAGTGTGTCAATATACAAGACCGTAACTCCTAGAGAGCTGTAGAGTACCTCGCCCCCCTTGATAAAATCTTATGAAAAAGATTTCTTTATCCGTTGTGGCGCATAAATAGGGATCATTTCATGATGTGGAAAGCTTTTAATAACTGATTCCGTTGTAATAATAACAAATCATTGTTTTTTATGACGTATGCCTAGAGATATAAACATCTAGCAATATGCAAAAAAGAAATGGCGCCATCTTTCATAAACAACTAACGAATTTCGACAGCGAGAGACATCATATGTAAACACCTGCAAAACTGTAGCAGAATTTAAACGGATTACAGTGTTTGCAATCAAATTCTGCGTCACTTTTTAGCTCCGGCGTAGTGCAAACCAAGTCTAAATCCCTACCCAGCCCCGAATATTTAGAGCGTTTCCGATTGCAAAAAAAACCGGTTTCTCCACCTATGGATGACACGTGAAGGAGCAAAGTCTACACATTCATCAAGACTTACCTGTGTTTTTTAAATCAACATTTCCATTAAATATGGACGTGGGTGTGACAGGGCAGGATCCTGGGGGGGTTAATGGTAAGATCGATGAATTCAAGGATAGCCTAAAAAGGAAACATTATAGACTTTATCAATTAGGAGATCGTAAATAGGAGGCCGCAATGTCATTGCGTTGAAATTTTGCTTGTAAGACTTAAAGTATGAATTAAAGAGGTTTTAGACGTACATGTGAGCAGTTTTTAAAAATCGTTCATATATTAGTTGTTTGCAGCCGAAATTCTCATAACCACAGCGCCATACATTGAAAATCACTGCACTAAGTTTTGGCCTTGCAAACGAAATGTATGTTAGGAAAACAAGCCGTTTTTCGAATCGAGTCGTATTATGACGTCATCAGCAGAACAGACGGGTTATGTAACGAGTTACGTATGTATAATATAAAACAAATTCCGAAGAAACAAGACATCTTGAGATTGCAAAATATGAATCAAAACAAGATGAGTTACGTGTGATTTAGTTACTTTTTTCGAAGTTGTAAAATTTTCGGCCCTCCCCTTCCCAAATAGCAGTCCACTTGAACTTTGAAGTTCTAATTTTTAAATTAGAAGAACAACAGTCCGGACAAAAAGATAATTTCAAAAAATTGCATAAAATTAACAAATCAAAGGTGTCAGATATTTTTCATCAGCAGGACCGTAACCAGAAATTTTAAATTGGTGTGGGGGTTGGTGGTGTACGTTTGTAAAAAACCAACACACACTGATGATTTTCTTGGCATTTTAAATATCCTTTTAAGTTCTGGCTTAACATGATACATGCGCTTTAAAATGAGGCTACAGAGAAAGAAACGCGCGATTGAAATCAATAAAATTGGGTCCCTCCCTGATGTTGAACACGGACACCATAAATGTATGATTGGGGGAAAGGAGCTCGTGCTACCAGTTTACCCCCCTGGTTAAGGGTCTGCATTAATGTGTCGTTTATTAGAAAATCTCATGCTGTGAAATCAATGGCCACGCCCATTTTCAATTACTTTGTTATGTCAAGCGAGCTAATTGAATTCCTTTGACATTAGCGTTAATCTACAAACCTATCGTTATGGATACAGTGACAAAAAACATAATTCTTTCGCCATGCAAAACGACGATGGCATGCGATGAAAAATATAAATAACTTTTTATCAGAAAAATTTCTATTCGTTTCTTATGAAAGTTAATTCTGTTCATTGTTTTTCCTGCGGACTTTGTGTTTCTCGCGAAGACGGAAATATTAGCAACATAGGAGTAAAACACGGCCCGGTTTCCCAACTGATCTTGGCCGGACAGTGAAATAACCGCTGTAGGAAGTAGACAGTTCACTTACGTGTCAAACGGCAGATTATTGTCAACTTGCTGAACAGGATCATTCCAGTTAAGATGATCGACGATATTGATACCTTTAGCATAAAACAATGAAGGTTCACACAACAAATAGAATTTCTCAGCTTTTGTTGCTCATTGCAGCTCACGTACCACTAAAAGGCTGTTTACATGAGCCCGGGTAACTGGGATTCAGCAAGGCTTGAATTGATTTCGAGTCATTTAAAATAGTAAAAATTTTAAGCGCAATTTTACAACCTTTTCTTAAGCATTATGAGTCATTGTAGTTGTAATTTTAAAGTAAGGCTAAATTTTTTGTTTTCACTTTAAAGATTTTGTGAATTTGCAAAGTCAGAGAATAGAGAAATTGCTCAAATAATTTTTTTGTTATGAAGTATTTGATCTTTTCCATTTGCCAAGATGATTTAACAAATTGCGGAAACCCGGCTACCCGGGCTCATGTGAACAGCCCCTAAGAATGGAACTTTTTAAACTTTTATTGAAAAAACCTTTCCCAGTAAGGCATAATTGAAGAAGTGTGAAAAAAATGGTACTTTTTTCCGACAAAAAACATCAGCAAGGAACATTCAATAAACTAAAAAATGTTCACGGATCTTCTACGAAATTAGACGCAGTATAATTAAAATAACAGCAGGCAACGTTCTTGAGGTATTTTAAAAACTGCAGCCATAATTTAATACTCACAATCCTGATTTCGCTACTGAACTTCACGAGAGACTCAAACACAATAGGTTTTGTTTAGAAAAAGCGTTTAAAACGGATCATGCCACTACGTAGCGGCATATCGCTGCAGAATGGATAATGCTAACATAGCAACTTAATGCAATGTACTTTTATAATTTAGTGCTTTTCTAACTCATCAAGGAAACACATGCCATGCATCCTGCCTTCTTCAACATTCAAGCACAACACGTGCTCATGGCGTTAAGTGACGTCATGGATGTGGAGATAATTCAAATATGGCCTGTTTCCTTTTAATTCGAACCCGTGGACCCTGAACAACGGCATATGAACTACATGCAAAGGCCGTGCACGAAAGGTGACCCCTTTTCCGGTCGAGCGTGTAGACAAACAAAATACAAAAACAACTGAGCAAGTTCAACACCGTGGTGAATAAAAATAAAACAATCCTCGAACAATTCCAAGATTCATCTGAAAACAGCTGCTATATTATTTAGATAACAAAGCCTCGCTTTCAATTCTTCTAAAATATGCCCGGTACTTGTGGGGAATTTACTGGTAAACAGCAATGATTAAAAAACCGATTAGATTTTTTACCCGAGGTAAACAAGTCAAACAGAAGTGAACGAGCTCCGCAAAGAAATTTTCCCAAAATGTTATTGTAAGTTATGTATCGCTGCAGTTGGGCCATTGATGACGAAAAATGCCGCGCAGAGAGTGGCGATGTTAACAGGAGCTCTTGCAGGTCAAATGTGGCAGTAAAATCTACTAAAGGCATCTCATGAACTTCGTTTTATGTACAACCTGTTCCCTACTGAATGTTTTCGACGGGAGGTCGAACTGCAACGAATGGCGATTGAGAATAAAACGATGCGAGTAAATTTTAGCATCTCAAACAAATTCGTTTGTGTAGAAAGAACGTTTTGCAAGCTCGGATGTTTCGAACGGCCAAGTCTGTCCGCTCTCGTTAACATAAATTTAGTGTGCTTGGATGGTGTAACTCGTCAAGAGGTACAAGTTCGTAAGTTGATGCACTGATTCAAACGTCAAATACAAATATGGGATCTTTGCAAAATATTTTGGCAATAGAACATGCGAAAAACGAATGTGTGTTTATTTACAAAAGAGCCTCAATTCAAGTTAAGCAACGTTTCCCGACTTTGGCGTAACCAAAGTGAAGTACAAGGTATGCTTTATTGAATAGTGCTGTTGCAGGAAAACATTAGAAGATTACAAGCATCTGCATAAAGCATTAGTATTATTTTCCAATGTTAAAAATATCTCAAAAATACTAAAAGTGCAAGCTTTTTACATGCAAGCACGGTGAATTGTTGCTATTTTCGCAGAAAACTTCTACGCATCGGCCGGGATAATCTGTAATACTTTAGTCTAAAATATTTTAGGGTTTTGTAAGAGCGAAAAATTCGACGACTCCACAAGTATCTCACAGCAGTCAAAAAACTTTTTCTGCAAAAAAAACCAACTTATTCTCACCATTTGTTCCACTATCCGCTATTTCTTCAAAGATTTCCAAGCTAATTTCGTCCATTTCGTCCATGTTTTACGCCCGAACCCGAACAACATATGCTGCCCGCTTGGGCGCACAACATGCAAATAATCGATCTCTCCCTTTACCGGTTTACATATTATGCAAATGAGCCGGCTGAGCCTTGAGTACGGATTCAATTACAGTGATTTAAAATAGCGCACTTCCCCCGTAGCATTGGCCTTTTTGTCTTCGGCATTTGTCAACACATCACGCCTTCCTCAGTCTTTGATTGAAAAGCTTCTTCTCACAAGTCTTGATCTCCTGTGCACGTGTGGGATGAGGCGCTCGCCACACACAAACTGATGTACTTGAGCATGCGCAATATGTGTCTTAGGGTTTCAGTTTGAAGAAGGTTCACAAGAATTGTCGCTTTTGAATATGGAGTATAAGTGTAAGCAACGAGAAAAGGTTTAAATATGATACACCTAACGTCTTCTGATTGAGTTTTATTCGAAAGGGGCGAAAAAATAAAAGCGCTAACACATTGAGGCACGTTTCTCTTGCAACTATAGTTCATGGTTTGTTGAATTTGTGTTCAAACGTTGTTTTTGTCAGCTTTATTCATAGTTACGCTACTGAGCTGAGAAAACTCAAAATTTGACAGAAACAAACCTAATTGCACTAACAGAAGTTTTTCAGAACATAAAGATGTAATTAACATGTTTTTTCAAGCAAACTATTTGAAAGAATAGCAGTCGAGTGTACCGTATACCGTAATTTTCAAATCTAGTTCCCACAATGGCAGTTACCGCCAAATTTACGGTAAAATGAGAATGAGAATATCACTAGCTACAATTATAAAAGAAATTTATTCCAAGCATTCTATATATCTTAGAAATTTTTCAGAAAACTGTACAGTTGTGTTTTGTAGAATTGACGCGAAAATAGGCAGTCGAATGTATCGGTGCTAGTAGCACGTACTACAACAAATTAATCTAAAGAGTGCAATAATTTTCGAATTAAATCCTGTCTCGGACTAAACTAATCAGAGATGAAAACTCCACGAGGCTTGATTTTTGAAATAAATTTTTTAAAACGTTGTGTTCCTTGTGTACAAACTTTGTGCTCCTTGTGTACAACTTGTGTTCCTTTTGAAATAAATTTTTTAAAACTTTGTGCTCCTTGTGTACAAACTTTGTGTTCCTTGTGTACAACCTTGTGTACAAACTGTTTATATTTCAACACTCAGAGGAAAGATCTATTGAATTCTTAGACGTAAAGGATACCATGATTTGATATTTTTATCGAAGCCTGGAGCTAAACGACAACAAATAGTTGCAAATTTGAAAGTCAAACATCAGTTGGAAAAATTGAACCCGAAAATATCTGAGTTCCGCATGCGTCCAGCCAGCCAGAAATAAAAATTGCACAGAATTCGGTGAATTGCCTTTTCCCTTCGTCGTTTCAAATTATTTAGAAAGTGGCTAGTAGTAGCTAATAGCTACTACTCAATATTTGGATTTTTACACAACACAACGTCATTGAAAAACACCCAACTTCAAATTTAGGATTAAAAATTAGTGTATAAGTTTCACTTATTATTCAGACGGTTGGTAACCGTCATCTTGTAAAGCAGAAGGCCTAGATTATCGTGTCAAAACAGGCAGTCGCAATTAAGCTTTAAGAGAGTGGTTGGCAACCATTTATGTAGCAATTATATAGTAATTGATTGGTTATTTATGTATTAATTATAGAAGTTTTTTTAGCTTTAGTTATGAGTATTTAATGAAATAGAGACTTTGTCGTGATGACAAATTTGAAAATAGTTCTAAAGATCGAAAATACCATTGTGAATGGTAAAAGTAATATAATAAGTTGATAGTTCTTAGACGAACAGTTTTAAGTAGAGCACTAACGCAATAGTTCTAAAATATTTATTATATTCTAATAAACATTTATTTTAGAACTATAGGGTTAATGCTCTTTACTTAAAACAAATCTTTTAACAGCTAGTAACTTATTATATTACTTTTACCATTCACTATGATATTTTCGATCTTTAGAATTATGAGTATTTCTTTAATTATTTTTCAGAACCTGCATGACACAATAGTTTTTAAGTGCACATAGAGTCAAGAAACCTTCATCAGCAGAGAAAGACCAGAGGACTGTAATTTAGGCGAGAAAGCCGACACACATACTTTAGTAAAAGCCCTTTGAGGGATTTTAAAATTACAAGAGGAAAAAAGGCGTTGTTATGATTTCCATTTTATAGTTCCGCAAAAGATGATTTAAATTGAGATACGGTTGTATATCATGAAGCGCAATTTCAACAATCGATCTGAAGGGTATTCGCGATCGAAGAAACACCCAAATCACAAGAATGCGCTACACAAAATTGCATTTCACTTATCACTTTCTACTGCAAATACGCACAACCCGAAACATGCGCAGACATCTGGTAAAATGTGCAAAATTGAGCTACTTCCTACCTTTCGCGAATACAGAACACCCGGGGTAGAAATTGTGATTGAATGACAGGCATCTGTGATCCATCACGACTTCATGGCACCAGGTATATTAGCTCATGCCACCATATCTTTGCATATAGAAATAATCTCAAGTTCGCTCACACCATGCATTAAAATAACAATCGTCATAATGCGCACGCATGTTTGAAAAAGCACCTCTATCAAGCCGCGTCATATTTGCCAGACCATGAGACATAACATTTTAAATCGCACTCTCAGCAATCGCAAAGGATGAGAGCCGCCACAAATTGATGTGTTTTTGTCTTCTTTGATTGCAAAAAAGTGCTGCAATGTTTTCATGTCGGTGATTTAATTTATTACGGCTCAGCTGCAATTTCGTTAAGGATATATGCGAAATCTTTTTTCGGTAGCCAAATTATGCCTGGAAAAGCGAAAATTTCAACTGGGTTTTTTTTCAACAAAATCAAGACAACTGCGGATCAATTAGCCCACGATAAGATATGCCCTCTTTGGATTTTTAGGTGATGCTAACCCAAAACAATTATTCCCGCAAAGAACATTTTTTAAAAACTCACCAGTCATGAGCACAGACTCAGTTTCTTGTTTATAGTGATACACCGCTGCTCGGCTCACGAAGAGGGCATGTGACATGCGCACAACCAACCTCAATCACTAGGCCAACTTACAAACAACCGAGAGGTTGGCAAACACAAGGTGTTGATTAAAGCCATGGAATCATATCTGATCGGACAGAAAATCGTGCGCATTACGTCATCAAACAACTTTCGGTTTACTAGTAGCTACACAAAATTTAACGCAACAGAGCCTTTCCGAAGCTTTTGATCTCAGAGAGAACATATACAGTGTTCGAAATCATCCAATTAAATAATGTCAAACCCCATCTGATGTTCGCAAACGAACTTCTGCGGCCCCAGTATCAATCCCACTACATTATGTGAATGTTCAAAAGCGGACATTTGTGACGAATCAATTATTTCGTTTGATAAACACGCTGAAAGATGGCATTATGAAAGAACACGAGAAGGATGACAATAATTAAGTATTCACATGTTCAATGAAAATCAAAACGAGAATTTATGATAGTTATTCTGAGTCAATACTCCAAAGTACACCATCTTGCCAAAATACACCCATCTGAGCCTTTCGCACAAAAACAAGTGTAAAATGAAAAAATCCCTTTCGAAGTGAAAAAAATATTCCAAGATTTAATTGAAACTCAAAATGAAATGTATTTCCCAGAAATTCTGGTGACACTTAGGAAAACATCATTGTCATCGCTCGACTTTGTGCGAATTTCTTAAAAATTTAAGGTTTTCATGAATAATTGTTTTTAGAGATGTTGTTGGTATTATGACTCGAACTTGACGGAAAATTCATTAAATTTTGTTTTACGTCACAATAAAGCCACCCAGTTAGAAAAGGTGAACGCATTTCAGTTGACTTGCAAGGGTCAAGATAAAACTAAATAGTCGTCTGAAATGAAACCTCGAGCGAATTAATGAACTCGATTTCATTTATTGCCCGAGAGCGATAACTTTAAGCAAAATGTAAATGCAGAAGTAATGCAAGTATTTTTGCAAGTGTGATATTCGTAAGCAAATGTCGATTGTGCTGCCTGATTTGAATACATTGACAACACTTTATCATAGGAGTATTAAAATTTATCCGCAATAAAACAGTGAAATAAAAATCATATGCCTAAAATTTCCGAACACCTATCATTTTTCTCACTAGTGACAAAATGCATATCAAGTTTTATCACGAATGGTGAACAGTATGAAAATTAAAGAAACGAAAACAGTATTTTTGATTTTATTTATCAATGGCTTTGCAATTCGCCTAGACACTATCCGTAAGCGAATTCAATATAAATGCAAGGAAAACGATTTAAACAGGAGGACATTGGATTTCTTCAGTAATTTTCATCGTCGAAACACGACTTTCCATGGATAAACAATATTCCCTTCAAGCAACTGGATAAATATTGAAGCAAGTTTATTACGCTTCCCTTTAAAAGAAAAAATAAACGTAAACAACGAACGTATTTCATTCGTAGGAGAGGTTGCCTTTCATAATGTTAAGACAGAAATGGCGGAAATACTAATTATTCCCCATGAACGGAATAATTAGTTTTGCGTTATTGCATTTTTTTGACGCGTTAGAATTTGTGCTATCTCTTCGGTGAAAATTTTACTACAACCTAAATTCCAATACTCGTATGATAAAAAATTTCGTTCGCTGTGCTCACTCGTTACTTTTCAATCCATCTCAACTCGTGCATAAAAATCGTACGCACTCACCAACCATGCAGTAGTCTATTATTATAATTGCCATTTTTTTGGTAATTTTCATGGTACATCTTCAAACTATTGGCGATTAACTAGAATAGAATTTGCAAAAGAGAAATGCATGCAATATTTTTTTCTAAACGAAAAAAAAACACATACATTAATCGAGAAAAGCAGCAGCGGCGATCTAACCTTGAAGATAACAGATGAGATTAGAGCACGATTTTTAAGTTGTCACGCGTTTCGTGGACCATTAAAACACGTCCACGATTGAGAAGCAAATGCTTCAAATCCGTTTCCATCAAATGAAAATTTTCTTGTCAAAGCGCAATAGAATCTACATTTAGAGCTTATGCAATAGAGAAAGCCATGTCAAGGGATGAACACGTCTACTACAATCATAACATGCGATCAGAAAAAGTTAATTTTGCATTCCATTGCTTAGCTTTGATAATCTTTGATTGACAGATCAAACGATCACAGTGATTACAGTGGTAAGCAGCTGTTTTATCAAAATACAGTTAATTTAGAGAAATGCTGCTTCCAATCCAAACACCGAGCAAATTAAACTTGTTTTGTTCAAGTTATAAACACAAGGAATAAATTTTCGATCAACTTTAAATCCGCATCTACATATTCTGCACAAGGCAAAGAATATTTCGTTGCCTGCATGTAATAATCTATTGATTGCACGAAGCTGCATGTTGATAAAAGTTTTATTTGGTGTTTGAGAGCTTCGTCTCCTAGGAGATGCACGTATCTTCTAAAGCATCAATAAAACCAAAAGTTTAATGAATCTTTCAACTGGAAGTGGCGTTTCTCTATACAAAATGTGATTGTATCCACCCGCAGTAACGTATTCCAATGATTACCATTGACCTATGAATATGTGTTGCTGTTTGAAGTCATTTCCGGTGATACAATGCCTTTTGATTGGCTAAGAAATCTTTTCGGCCGTCCATTAAAAATTACTCAAAGGAAAACAGCAAAAGTTTTGTCAAACGACAAGTGCGAAATTCAAAACTATGTATTTCTACATCTGCGAGTTGAAAACCGAATTTAATTATCTAGACAGTACAATTTCAGATGAATTATTTGTGACAAATAGGAATGATGAAATGGCAATATTCGATATAAAGTTATAGTAGATGGAGAAAAAAGTGCGCAGCCATCCTCTCCCCAGGCCCGTGTAATGCAAAATACATTCAAAGACAATTAATTAAGACATCAACCGTTCTAATACCATATCACAACACGTAAGTGCTACGGTTTATTTTGGCATGCAAAAATATAATAACTGTTTAGCGTTGAAATATCACGCATGTTAAAATAACCGTTAAAAAATGGTAGAAATTAATTTTAAGCCAAAGGAGATATTGACGGATAAAATATACCCGTAAGCAAGATCTCTCCAAAATCTGTTATCTGCGTTAAAACACAAGCGATATTTCTGAACTATTTTTGAATTTTCTGACTTTATTTAACGGAAACAGCATAGTCACTGCTTTTTTCACCCACCGTACAACCTTAAAGATCTAAATAGTACAGTTCTCTGTCCACTTTAAAAGTTTACTAGCGTAGCCATCCGGCAAATTTCTTCATGCTATGTAAATTTTTTATACTTAACAATATTCACTTCTTTAGAAATCAGTTGTTTTTACAGTGATTGAACACCAAAATATTAAATAGCGTGAAAAAATTTGCGGGCTGGCTACGCCATTGCGCTTATCGTAGACTATAATAATAATAATAATAACAATAACTTTATTCAGCCACGGAACTATTATTTATTATTATTATGACTATTATTATTATTTAAAAATACTTAAAAACGGTAACTCTTCAGGGCTCGTGGGCTCGTGTTTTTCGCAAGAGGTCGTTTACTTATTAAACTTACAAATTTCAATACAATAATAACTGTAATTTAGGCAAAAATTGTTACAGGCTATATTAGATGAATGCATGCAAGTCAAAAATATTACATACTATAATAAATTGCAGATAATAACCTACAGACAAACTAATTAATTTGCCTGCACTACTTTATCTAAACAAATATATCCAAATCAAATAATCAATCTAATTTACAAAATTGGTTATATTTGACCAAGTGCGGTCGAGAATACGTTTAAAATTGTCGAAACTTATGCATTTTTTTCTTATATTGCAGGCGGTAAACCATTCCAAAGTGATGCAGCTGAGCTGCTAAAACTCATTTCTATTTCACATAAAAACTACTATTTCACTAAAGTTACATAAAAAAATATGAATGTGATCTTCCATTAGGCCGTACACGCTAACAGTTAATCATAATGAATATCCTATACATCATAATAAATATCCGTTGAATTTAACCTAAGAAATCAACATCTTACAGAATACAAGACCATTTCACAACCAATATTGCTCGATATTTATGCTACAAGTACAATACACCAGGTTCACTTCAAAATGATTACTTCAATCAGTGTCATAATATATTCCATAAACATTCCTGTTCATGTGTCGTCTATAATTCTGCTAGCATATTTACACCAATAAATCATAATGAATACACGCTAACAATAAATCATAATGAATATCCTATACATCATAATAAATATCCGTTGAATTTAACCCAAGAAATCAACATCTTACAGAATACAAGACCATTTCACAACCAATATTGCTCGATATTTATGCTACAAGTACAATACACCAGGTTCACTTCAAAATGATTACTTCAATCAGTGTCATAATTTATTCCATAAACATTCCTGTACATGTGTCCTCTATAAAGACTATAATTGTGCTAGCATATTTACACAATTATATTATAATACAAAGCGCCGTTTCATACATATAACGATACAAAAGCACATATAAATACAATTCATTACACAATCAATAGGCAAAAATACGTAGATTAAAGTTAGCTTCTAAATTGTTAGGTCACATAAAAGTAATTAGTGTTTCTTTGTCTCGCTCCTTATCTGGTACCATTCAATATCCAGTGCCAGTCCTCGGATGCTCGGCCACGTAACACCTTAATTTATGCATGTGGTTTAGGGATGATGTAAGAAAAGGTCGGACAGTGTTGATCTCCATTCGCGTCAGGTTATCCAACTACAACATGCCAATAATTTTAGTTCATTCAAAAATGAAGGAATACAATTACCTAATGAGTTGCTCCATGTTTGGAAAGAGTTCCCTTTCCCCACGTAATAAACTCAAAGTTGCGGAAGAAAATCCCACGTGTTTAAACCCTTAATTTATCTTCATAAAAAACGGTGTGACCGAAACCTATTTTCACCCAAACAAACGCACGTCTTTTTTGGTGTAAATCTTTTCCAGCTATATCCTAAATAAATCTATCTGTATTAATAACAATCCAATCATAGCCTTAACGTGCAAGCCAAGTTTCCGCATATAACAACCAGCCGAACGCGCATTTCTAAACTGCGACATACTATGTCCAACGTGAAATATGAATACTAATGTTCTTATTTTAGTTATTAACACTTTGCAAAACTGTCTGCTCTTTCACTAAATGTTTGTCTTCCTAAACTCTTGCACGACTTGGATTGTCTGCGCGATCGTTTCTACGGCTAGAATCCTTTGATCTCATTATCTTTATATTATCTTTCATGATGTAAAACGTTTGTCCTTGCGAGGAAAAGTGACTCATTACAATGCCGTTGTTAAAGCTTTTCTTTCCAGTTTGCTCCATCACTAATTTGGGAAGTCACAAGTCTAATTAGCTCAGTTTACTCAAATAGTAATTAAGCAACTTTTTCCTTCTAACGTTAGATGGTTTTTCTTCATTACAGTGTCAAGAGAGCGTCATCGTGCTCCGAGCAAGGATTTTTCTCTCTTACGTCCTGCATATAGTTAAACTCAGGCATTAAAATAAGTGGGTTTTTTACACATTTTGTGTAAAATGTGTCCTTGTAAATGAAAATACGCGTCCTTTTGAAATCAATACTCAGCTTGGCGTTATGTGGTTTTTTATTATCCCCAACTAGCTACGCAAGTTTGTTGAAATATTTATTCAATAAATGAAAGAATTGCACGCGGTAAGTTTCAGAAGGTTCAACCACAACAGATCAAAGTTCATGTGCTGCCATATTCATTGACAATTGTGGTAAAAAGGTAAGGGCAACTGCTGCGCTTCTTATCATAGTTCTATTGTTCTCCAGCCGTCAATAAAACACCAAATCTGGATTGACAGCACACAAGTCAAGTGACACAACAAGTAATGTCGCACCAACACTAGGACAACGTCACACGTTAGCTGTTTTACTGCAGTGATTCCGATTATTGCATTTGAATTTTCAGTCCCTTTTAACCGCGGTGAATAATTTTGACTCCGGATATTTTATCTACGCCTTCCAATAGAAATAATGAACATAACTGTGCCGTTTTGCAACGTCACCCAACCAAACGAAAATATCGTTCAGTACGACATTTCAGGGCGTGATCTACATTATATTTCTACTTTACCTTTCAAAACAACTGTCGATATCCTTAGTCATGGCACTTTTCAGGCGACACGCAGTTAGGATAATTAACATATATGCATGTTTATCTTACGTGAACGAGAAGCTAGGGAAGGCATAGATACTATGTAGAACAACCACTTGTTTAGCGAACTCAACGGGAATATAGGAAATCCTATTCACCGTTTAACTTTTTGCTAGGTATTTTGACGACTTTATTAAATAGCAAAGCATAACTCGCATTTCGATGATATTTCTCAATCAGTCCACCAAAAGGGCAAGTAAGGCCTGCAGCTCTACTCTCGCCTAGTATATCTCGAAAACAAAGCGCCTTTAACAAGCACGATCGTTGCGTTGAGTTGCGCTACCATATTTCATGGGTTTTCGTCGAATCGCAATTGTGTCAATACTATTTGAAATACTTTCCAAATCTACCTTTGGAGATATGTTTAATACTGTACTTCCTTGCAATTAAAAGCGTTTCACACTTCCGCATCTTAGAGTTTTGTCCCTTTTAACAATACGTATGTTTCAATCACGTCCAGCTTCTTTCCTAGCTAAATATCTGGGGCCGGTTGCATGAAGCTTGGATAGCGTAATCCATTATATAGCAAAATTTTCAAGCTTCCAAAAAAGGTGTTTATATTTTTCTTACGACAAAGAAATTTTGTAATCTTCGAAATATTTTATTTTAGTCATTCTACAGTTCAAATCGTATAGTTTTCTCCTATACAAGATTTTATGAACGTTCAGAAAAGTTTGCTATCCAGTGGATAACGCAAACCAGGCTTCGTGCAACCAGCCCCTGCCTTTCAAAAATCAATCCACACACGCGCGTATCATAGCGCAATGATCAGGAAGTGCTTTGAAAGTTTTTGAAAATAGTGGTGTCCCACAGAGCCCTCTATTTGTAAGAGTTGGGACATCTATTGTTATCCGTTTAGCTTACGTTGATTGGGCAATATTGATCACCTGATCAATTTCCGCCATTTTGGTTCCTAGTTTTGAAATTTGAGCTAGTGTTTATATAGCAATTGCTGCTAGTAATACAGTATTTTGAGATAATATTGCGTTTTTTATGGATAAGTTTGTATTAACTGATTGTTGACGGCTACTAAATGTCATTACATATCGCCAGAATGGAGGATTACGAAAAAAATGAAAGAAATGCCTTTACGTCGAACTTACTGCTTTGGATATAAGGTTCAATTAACTGACTCAAGTAGAGAATCATTTTTGGGCCAAATAACATGGCAAAGTTCGTGCTGATGCAGTTTCAATAGTTTTCTTACTCCAAAGCTTGTTCTTTAATCGAAGATGATTTCTCATTAAGTTCTGAAATTGGTGAATCTACAAACCTCTCAATTCTCAGCCACTTCCACACTTAAACAAACAACTACACCAAATCACAGAAACTCTTATGATTTTCCATGTTGTATTTTGTATTTTTAGTTCATCATTTAAAAATGAAGTAATTATAATTAGGATATTCACTGAAACAGCTGAGTACAATATATTTTTGGTAATGAATTGTACAAATGTACCCTACTTCTGCAGCTCAAAATAGAACATTACTTCTCTTCTAGACTTGTCGATGATATTTTAATTGTAGGTTTTGGTTTATAAGATCACAGAGGCATATCTCCATAATTTCAGCTATTTGGGCTCTTTAATGTATATTACAACTGTTGCTGCCTTTCTCATATATATCAAAATATTGCTGGCTTTCAGATATATATTTAAGTGCTGCTACCTTTTGGATATAGATATTTCACTGGCAATACAAGGCATAGAATTTGAACAAACGGGGCTGAGCCCCCTCCAACACACCCCTGTTCGATCAATAAACACATACAGAAGTTTTGTCATTCCTCAAACAATAAATTTATCTCTTTGCTAAATTAAAGATTGCATCAGACTCATATGCTGTATAAAAGACTACAAACAGTAGCACTTATAGCAAACAGACTGTTTTTCAACAACAGAAATGTTTCATGTTATAGAAATAATATGTTCATTTTAAAGAAATGCTTCACCAAAATTTTCAGCAGAATCCTTAACAAACTTTATTACAACTAAACTTTAATACTTTATAAAGTGTTAAAGGCGAAATAACTTCATATAAAGGAATAAAACGTTTAAGGCCAAATGCATCTTGGTCAAATCATTGCATATTTCAATAACTAAAACGTAAAAAAGTCTGTCATTTTCTGCTGAGCAAGAAAATTTTGTGATCTTTCACAATAAAAATGTCATGCTTGGATGAAATTGGGGGGCATAAACCACTCACTACCATTAAATTGTTACAAATCTTGAACACATATCTCTCAGGACCAAAACTGCATGATTACTATGATTCGAAGTTTCGAACAAAGTCTTGTCCAACTATTTGATAACACTGATGCCAGGATAACATTGCCGCTTGCCACCAAGCTTAAAGATCTTGAAAACTTGTTACAGAGTCGGAACATAAGCCGAGAAAACACGTTCACGTGCGAAAAATACTTCTTACAATGGATCACCATCAATTTGTAGCACGAACTAGCAAACCGCAAACGAAGCTCAAAGCAATGAAATTAAATCAGGTCTTCCGCAAATCGTTAAAAAACGCAAAGAGCTTGCTACTATTCCTAATATATTTGATACTACCATGGAATAAGCTTAAATTGCTTTCTTCTTTTGCATATAAACCCAATTTCCAATAGTATTATTATAGTTTCACTTTGCAAGTAGGAACCAAAATGGCGGTTCCGCGCTCGCCCCAGACCGTTTGTCCCAACTCTTATGAATGGTTAGCACTATTTTCCACCCAGCAAACCGCCCTTTACTTCACACAATCGTTAATAAATTAAAGATGGCGGCTAATGGGAAAGAACCAAAAGCTAAAAGGAAACCATGCATGCACTGGTGCTAGGTCGTTTTGAGATGGCGAGTAATTTTATATTTTTATAATACAGTTTTTAATATCAACATATGAAAATATTTACAGATAAATGTTGCAGTATAAATTTTCATGCAACCACCTTAAGTTATAAACTTATAATCCAGGCTGGAAAATATGTCGTTTTTCGACGATTGTGTAAAATATTATATAAAATATTATATTGTGTAAAATATTAGATTGTGTAAAATATTATACTGTGTAAAATATTATATTTCAAAATAAAGGGCGGTTTGCTGGGTGGAAAATAGTGCTAACCCTTATGAATAGAGGGCTCTGATGTTCCACGCTCACGAAGTGATCACGCGCAGTAGTTAGATTCGAAATGAGCCGAATATAAACACGTATTAGTTGTTTTTATCTGGATTACTTCTTTTAACTGCAACATGAGAGATTGAAAGGTGTGTTTAATGTTTATTGATTTGAAAATTTTCTACACCAGTAGCTATAAACCTGGCATGTGCGTCTTAAAAAGTTCAAGCAAGAAGCCAAATTTGTGGGTGTCTTTCCTGTACGTGACACTCACAGTAAGAAGCGGTGGGTGATCGGATGTCGGAACAGACTTGACATTTTACGTAATAGTAGGAAATTAACACTTACATATATTAATAAGTATAGACTTAAAGTAGAGAGTATATAGAGACTTGTTGTTGTAATTCTGCAGTCGTCGTAGAAATAACGTTGTCGGAACTGACTTGACATTTTACGTAATAGTAGGAAATTAACACTTACATATATCAATAAGTATAGACTTAAAGTAGAGAATATATAGAAACTTGTTGTTGTAATCTGCAGTTGTCGTAGAAATAACGTTGTCGGAACTGACTTGACATTTTACGTAATAGTAGGAAATTAACACTTACATATATCAATAAGTATAGACTTAAAGTAGAGAATATATAGAGACTTGTTGTTCTCTAGCTGTATCGTGATTTTTAGTGTTTGTTGGTAATAATAAAAGTTCTGTTTCAGCCGAGTCTCCATATTGTGATTTGTCGAGAACTACAGCTTTGGAGGCAAGCATTCTCGAATCTCGCACGGACATCCACGGCTTCTCAAGCCCCTGCGCCGCGTGTATATTTAGTTCAAGGGTTCAAAAGACACGGAGATTAAAAAAACTAGATGGCATTAATGACGAATTTGGGGTAACGCTGAACTTGGGGAGGAAATGTAGAGAACACGATGGAGCCAGATATCTTTTGCCGTCTGCTTTCGAGTTTCGGGTTTTTTTAATATAGTGTTGTAGGTGTTTTTGTTCTTCTGTCCCAACATCAGGAAATTTTATCAATTTAACGCGTTAGTGAATGTTTTTCAACTGACGAGATGCTATTACGAATATATGTTGTTTATAATCTCTATGCTTTGTATGTTTTAATTAAACTATAAAGGATGAAAACTTACGCTGTCCTTTATACTTGTTTTTCTGTTTTTACAACTCGCCTATTCACATGGTTTAGCCATTTTTTGGTATAGATGACAAAATATCTGTATTTCGTAGTCTCATAGCAGTTGAATGAAACAAGAAAAAAGCTCGTTTTATGAAGCAACTCTCGCGACTTAAAATTTACTGAGTAAGTATAAAAGCAATACAAACATGTTTTGCAAAATATGAGCGGTTTAAACCATCTAAAATTATGATAAAAAGTAAAACATATTTCAACAAATTGACTGTGATAATTTTTGATATAATATATACAAAAAAAGCTCAGAAAATCATTGTCGGCCACGGTAGCTTAACATCCGGCAGTCGATTTTGCCACCCAAAAAACGCGTACCATATTTTAGACTATAGATTATATTACGATGCCACCTCTAGTATTAGTTATAATCTCTATGTTCGAAAGTGCGTCCATGAAAAGTTAACTTCCACTTATACGTATAACTTCGTTCTAATATTTTCGAGAAAAAATAATGTATCCACTTACTCTAGCGTGCGTTTCCTTTTCCTGTACCATGATATTCATACTTTTTCGCATTTTCGCCATCCTAATTTCCCATATATCTTTGACCAAATTCTGCACTTCGTTCGCGTGCGGTATGTCATCGCGGGCGCTTGAAAATAAGAACCTTCTTCATAATTCACGCAAATAAATAAAGCAAAATACGTTGTAATAATAAATGCACACATTCACACATAAAACCACATATCCACACATAAATCGCATATAAACCCACACATCTACATATAATCCCCCCAAAAATCCACGCATCCACATATAATCCGCAAAAAATCCACACAGCCACACATAATCCGCAAAAAAATCCACACATAAGCCGCACAAAAACCCTAATACAATTGCTCACCGACGTCACGAAATCAGCTGGGCGAAGTCGGCTATATACCTATTCTGGATAACTAAATATGAGTAGGTTTTGAATTGGAAATCCATCCACAATAAAAGGCATGTAGCACCTAACCCATTTCACTGTCTTGCCGTGGATGGGCGTAGCAAGATCGATATTCTTTTTTTTTGGGGGGGGGGGCACTCATATTCATGATATGAACTATTAACTTTCACATACGATTTTGACCCCTCCCCCCAATTATCAATCTTCCTACGCCCGTGTCGTTTCTGTCTCAAGAAAAAATCATCTTGCATTACTTCATTTTTCTGACGCTCTATTTTTTCAAGCAGTGTCCATTCCGTTAGAAAAAATTACACAATAATCTAATTTCAAGGTCCAATAACTTCAGCCCTTATTTGAAACGTGTTAACAGCGCTTATATTTCTGTCATAAGGCAGACTCGATGACTCTTAATTTCTCAAAATTGCTCCATGACCCAGAGCAATAGATTCAAGTTTATCCTTCACGTTCAAGCGTTCTTATCTTGTCGGTTTCAATTACATCTCACCTAATTTGCTTTTAAATTTGGCATTGAAAAACTGTTTACAAGTGAAAGTGTAATGACGGAGCAACTCATTGGCGGATCTAGGAAATGTCAGAATACATTACCGCAGCTCATTCTTGCATATATTTACATTTACAAATACCTCGGAGGTAACACGATTGTTAAAATTTTATTCGTTGGAAATTCATGACCAATAGTATGATTTCAAAGTAATTAGAACTTAAAATTGAGCTGCTATATTTTATTGTGACAAACGCTGGATCCGCCATTTGAGTACTTATTGAGACATTTTCAAACCCTGGCTTTAGTCAACAGTTTTTTTGAAGATTTTTTCCCAAGAATAGATTGTTCGAACCTGTTGAGCAATAACGAAGTCATTTCCAGGTAGCACTCGTTAGGCATTTTTGTGAAATATTCCATTTCTTTTGCTTCGTCCCTCTTCTCCCGTAATTGCTCTGAAATAATGCAATGAGCGCAAAAAAAACCAAAAAATCTATGCAAACTTCAATTGTTTAAATGATGTAAAAAGTTGATGGCCCTTATTTCTCGAATTAAGTTTTCTCTACAGTTACACGACTATCGTTTTGGTGTGAACGGGTAACCTCCGTCAAAGCAATTACTACAATAAGTAAATATTTGCCGCTTTTCAAGGAAAAAATCACACGTGCTATCCAACGAGACATAGCAATTATAACAATAGAAAATAAGGCACTCTTTCCAGAGAGTGCATGGACCTCCGCCGCATTGTAATAAATGACGCCTACATTACAGTACATTTATGGTAATTTTCCACGACTTAATAAAGCGTTCAGTACTAGTTTGGAAAAAGCAAAACAAAAATAATGTTTACTTCTCGTTCGATTTTAATTCAAACTCAAAAAATTGTAATCTTTTATTCCTTTATCGATGGGAAATGCGCCCCAAAATTTTCGTAACAATATTTTACGTAATTGATCGAGTTATCGAGCTCACAGATAAACGCATACGTACACATGAAGCTACAAACTCAGGTGAAAACCTAACCTCCTGACGGAGGTAATAAAGGTAACCAGGCAGAGACATAACATATGGTCATGGTTATTAAGAATATCAAAGCAAACCGTCTCTGTAGGTAGTTACATAATCATATTAACACTAGAACATTTTCGTTCAACAACAAGCTCCCTCCCCCCTCTTTAAAATTCAAGCCTTGTCCAGCATTGGACTTAATGTATATTTATTAATTTTTCTTATAATCTAATAAAGGCAAAAGTTGTTAACATACCAACATTCATCCAATCTGGAGCAACAATCCTGCATTTCTTTCTACATTTAAGATTTATAGCCATCCATAAAGGAGCTTCAGTAGGCATTCCCGGTTCAAAAGGTCCAAGATCACCCTATCGCAACAAATGTTTATCATTTGTTAATTTTTACCCTTTTAATGTTACAGATGGGATATTTCCAATCCTCAAAATGCTTAGGTAAGATATTACTATTTGTGTTCAACTGGTAGGTCTCCAGACGAAGCAATAAAATGTTTTTACTAGATTTGGTTTCATGAGTATAAACGCTTTCCCCTGCTTTGAATAGTTGCAAAAGGTGGAACAGGGGGGAGTGCTAAAGATTATTCGATCAAATTCAGTAATAGCTATTGCATATCTGGTCACACTGCACACGGAAGATCTATAACTGTAGAGGCTTTCATTCACAATTATTATGCAATCTTTATGATGTTAGTTTTTATTAAAATTAAAAAATGCTTGGATTAAATTCAAAACTTGTTAGTGAGAAAATTTTACCTATTAATAAGGATGACTTTCAAAGTAAATAAAACATTACTGAAGTGAATTTAATGTCTAAAATATTGACTTTTTATCAGAATAACATGTGGTATTATCATGCTAAATTCATTCTTATTGGTGACATGTAAACAAAATGTTCAACCAGGTTTTCAATATCTATAACCCTGAACCTTTCCATTATTTCAGATTCAACTGACTTCAACATAACACTTTGTACCCTTTCTTGGTTCATATTTAGTGAGAATATTTTCATTGACACAATAAAGCACATTAATACACAAGTAAATACTTAAATGAAAGTCTCAAAGTATGCTTTGTAACCCCTGTAGACATTATTTCTGCTGCTAGATTTAAAAAAAACTAAAAAGATTTTGTAAACAGTAGTGATTGGTAGTAACATAAGCATTCAACTACATTCGCATTGCCATCCTTTCCTAATTTCTACCCTAATTTCACCTTTCTGTGAGGGCACTACCTCTGTCATTTCTTCGGGGGTGGGGGGTGAGGCCCCTTCTCTATACCACTGCAATATCATTATCAAAACAAGATTTCAACGTTTATCACCACTTTTTATACCTACATTTTAGAGTTTAAACATTAAATAAAAAACTGTAAAGTTTCTTATAATGCCAAGTTAGTGAACAGCATTGAACAAATTTATGCAGCATAATAACACGGTAAGATGGAAATTAACAATTTCAGAGTTCAGACAAGTTTCTAAGTTCTAACGAGACTTCAGTCGTAGACTTATCGTGTGTTGTGCAAGAAACAATTTGATTCAAAAACCATCAACTGAGGAAAATTCAACAGTAAAATACTTACACTGATCAGGTACATTCTGCCCTCTCTAAAGTTGGGCAAGATTGTAATCATTTGCTCTTCACTGAGAAAGTCGACTTCCGATGGATCCATGTTGGAAATGGCAAACAGCTCAATATAGCAAGTAAATAATCAATCTGTCGTTGCAATAATCAAAAGTCGTTGCACTAGAAGTACAAAGATAAAAAAATGCTAGTATCGATGATCGATGGATGAAATTCAGGACAACAACCAACTTTTCTTCGACTTTACCATTCAATATTCATATGAAATCAAAAATCAAAATCTCCCGCTATTTTTAATAAAAAGTACGAGAAAAAAACGCGTCATAATTATCTGGTAAAAATTGGATGGCTTCAAAATGGCTGCCAAGCTCCGTCTAAATTATTGAATGTTCATCATTGTTGTAGCTAAGATAAGAAGCAAGCGTTTACAAAACTTTATGTGTAAAAAATATGGGAGCACAAGAATCATCTAGACGAGTGACAGTGGAAAACGAGGAAGATGATGATTCTATTGGTATCGTCAAGGTATTGCTAAATGAGCATAATGACCCATAGCTTGACAATCACTGCGAGCCACCGTCACCATAGTCGAGATGCTTGTTTTTTCGATTGATATAAAGTTCTACTTGAAATTAGGTAGTGTATGAAATTTGCAGATAATCCAAACAAAATTTTGGAGCTGCTTATTCAAGCAATGTGGGTCAATAAGACAAATAGATAATGTGTTTCAATTTTCATTGTATAGCACAATTGAAACAGCGATGAAATTCATGACTTTGACTTTGACAGAAATTTGTAATCTACTTCTAGTGATCAGCCTTTTGTGGTGTATGTTTTTGCTCTCCTAGATATCGGAATCACTATTACACAGTGATGATGATGTAACAGTCAGCTCGTCAGAGAACATCTCTCAAGGTATTTAATGTTGATCAGACATTGGTGCAGTTGTTTAGGCCATCAAAAAATTTTAGTTATAAAACCAATGGAAACCTGAACCAGTAGACATATATATTTTTAAGCTTGCATTCCTAACTCGGAAGTTTGAGTGTAAATGAGTGGATCAAAGACTAAAGGGGTTTGATCAAAGCATGGGTATTGGTGATTGCTCCCTAAGAAAACTTTTGTTCTCTCTTCACTTCAAATGTCATGATGCAATGATTGAAATATGATATCTGTATTCTTCACCAACAGGCCTCTTTTCTGTGTTGTTGTAATCCATACACTTGAAAATGACAAAAACTCTGCGCACTTAATTAATTCAATCATTTCTTGCAGAAGATGTGAAAAAACTGTGGCATGAACTTTTGGAAAGAAAGAAAGAGTTAGATAAAAAACAGGAGAGGATCGATGACCTTATAATGGATGCTTTTGAACAGGTCCATGTGCTTGAGTGCATGCAAAATTCTTTTATTGATTCCTTAGAGCAAGAGATTCACATAAATCTTATGATGCAAACACGTTAGACAACAGTGTAGTGTGAAACTCAAATTGTTAAAAATGTGAAAAATACTTAGGGGAGGACTAGAATGTTGAAAAGTGTGAGACTGCAAATGCAGTGACTAGCCATATTTGCATGCTTCATGCAGATTACATTTGAGTTCTGGGGATATTGCTGTATGCTGATTTACGAGTCCCAGCATGCAGAGTCTGATATAGCGTCACTGAGTGGTGATACGTTCAAGTCAAGTTTTCACGCGTGTTTGTTTGCCCAATGGACACGCGTCCGACATTTGGCGCATGATCTTAATAAAAGAAGACAAATTTTAAGGCATGAAATAAACGACCAAACGAATTTCATTTTAAGGGTCAAAATATGGCTGGCGGACCTGTTTCGTATGGCATTGAAAGTTTGGAAAAAACCTTAGACGAAAAGGAACGTGAATTGGATCAACTTCGAGAAAAAACGCGAATGTATCAAGAAGAACAACTAAAAAAGGTACTTTTTCAAATTTGTCAATGTAATGTTATTAAAATGACTAGAATAAAGTGATTTTGAGAATGAGATGTAGCGACTTGATTTCTATTAAACATTTTCAGAATGATGAGTCAGAAAGAAAAGTTTTGAACGAATTCGATGATTCAGTGCAGGAAATGAGAGAAAGATACAGGTTTGACCACTCGTGAAAACGTAATGTGATTTGCATGATCCGAATAAAAGATGCATTATGATACGAAATGTGCATCGTGTAAATTTGAAATGAGAACTAAACATATTCACTCGAGCTAACTGACACCTTGTTTTTTTACTCAGCAAGAAAAAAGCAACGCCAGTTTGCTCTTCGCTGAAACAGTCCGTCTTGGAATGCTATCAGGCAAACAAAAACAGGTCATTAAAATGCTCTCAGCTCGTTCAAGATTACGTCAAATGTGTGGAAGAGGCGCGACAGGTATTTTGCCGTTTCTAACTCAGTCCGTAAACGAGCCACCAGTCAACCATTGGGGTGGACTGGAGAGTAGGGCTCCCTCCAATTGTATGAAAAGATTCTTTTATGAACAGTGGAAGTTATTAATAACTGACTTTTACTTTACTTTCACCACAAAAAAACGCCGGAAATAACATTGACGGACCCTACATTTTAAATTTCTTTCAAGAGCATGGCCCGTTGCACTTCCACAGACCTTTTAACTTTCTCAACCAACAGATGATAGCAACAAAAAGCTGCCCATCTGTTATTCAATATTTTGGGATCGTATTGACACAATAAGCATTACCAAGCCAACATTTTCCGTAAGACTTCACACATCTTCACGTTCTATGACAGTCAAAATTAAGTAACGTTGAATTGATTTGCACTTCCAATGATCTGTTTCAAAAACTGGTTCTAACAGTTTGAATTGACATGTTTTTCTAACTTTTTCAGTCGATGGCAAAAAGAGTTTCGTAATTGCAAAGAACACTATCTTTCTGTTGATATCTCTAGAGTTATCATGTAACATGGAATTGTGATCTAGATGGAGTGTATCTGTATGCTTTCTTTGAAAACCAAGAAAGTGAGTCGTTTCTATCAATAAAACGATTTAACGTTTCATTTATGATCGCTTTTCGAACGTTACCAGCAGATACCGTAAAATTTTCTGATCCCGTTCAGACGCGCACCAACTTTTACTCAGTTTGTGATGCATATTGTTGGGTTTTTTTATGAAAGTCTGGCTTCGTTTTCTTAAGAATTTTTTAAACAACAGAATTATCGCCATGGTATTATCACTATAATACTTCTATGGAAAGAGTTTAACAAATTTAACAATTCAAAACATGTATTCGGTTTCGGTATTTACTGTTCAGGTATCATGCATTCACTTTCAAAAAAATTCTGTCAAGCGCAAAGAAAAGAATGTACGAATTAACGTTCTCATTATGCCCCTGACTGGTAGTATTATTGACGTACTTCATGTATGGCCAAAGTTTTTGAGCGAGATACTTTTGCTTGTATATTCACGTGTTATTTACCCTGTGCTGCTCTATGATTGGAGATCCACCATTTTCGGTTGCCTTAAATGGCCAACAGGGCGCGAAAAGCGTTACCCTAAACTCATTCTATAAAACAAGATTTCCGATGGGTGGCTTACGAAACGAGATCAACCGAATATTTACTTTTAGGCATTACCAACTTCTTTTTGAATCCATACAACTTTTGCGTATTTGCAAGAGAAACAATTAATGCCACGTCAAAAAATTAAACGATTTCCGCGAAGGATTCATATAAAATAAGATGCCGCCAGTGTTTTTATAACGCGGTAGAGTCGTCAATGTTTTTTGAAGTTATTTCAGAGTGACGAAGTTAAGTGCGACTGTATATTAGGTAAATCGATCTATAATATGTACATATATTATATAAATGATCTATTGTGTTTTTGCCTGTTGTTCAATCGTAGTTCACGACGCCCATAATTTGTAGAGGCAAAGTAGATACTTGCACCGTAGTGATCATCCCGGGATGATCCCGTTGAGTCACCTGATTTTTTCAGGTCCTGAGACGATTGCTTAAATTGTCCAGCAAAGTGCGAAGATCATATCTTCATTTAATTTAAAAATATGTAAAATATAAAAATCGAGCGTTACTAAAAATGCTACAGAATGCTCAACATAACACATACTCTGAATTTGTACGCACTTATCGCCTTCTTCAAACCGAATTACTGTGGTGTGCAGTTATTTGGGTCGCGCTTTGGATAATTCAGACCTCTCTTTTCCTGTGAACCAAACCCTCGTGCTGGTCTAGAAATGGGGTTGCTGGATCGCAAAGCTGATCGGTCTTTTGCGATAGCCTGTATCCCATCTGATCTATTGCGGTCTACCCGTGGCTCCAACCCGATTATTTTATTGTTTGTTTTCATTCGACTGGGAAGCGGCCCGGCCAATAGACCTTTTCAAGGTTATCGCAGCCATATTGCAGGGGGTGCAAAAACATTGGGCCGAGCGCGCGGTCACGCACGGCGTCCACATAAATTACTAATAAATGCGCAAAAATTACCCTTATACATATTGGCCATTTCTTTCAAAAATATTTCTCAAACTCGTCCATTTTAATAGTCAAATTATTATTTGCGATTTTTATACACGTGAGTCCAATTTTGTGGTAATCAAAAAGCGGAAAGTTAAAGAAAACATTTGTTTTCTTTGAACAACTTGACCGTCGTTTGAGCGATGTTCTTGAGTTCGCAAATGTGCGGAACTCATAAGCCAAGTCAAACGATTTAAACCCTAAACTAGCCGAGTAGCCGTGAGCACTCATAGCCGAAATGGTAAAAAATGCGCGTTGTGCAGTTGGATATTGCGATAATAATAAACGCTATCCCTATTATCAAGTTAAGATGTCTCACGTAGAAAATTTAGTTTTTCATAAGTGGCCCAAAGATCAAGCACTTGCTAAAATTTGGCGAAAACAAATTGCAAACAGCAGAGCCGATGACTTTAACCCAAAGCCTGGTGCACAAAGTACTTTAGTTTGCTCAAATTATTTTCCCTTGGGAAGAAGAACCCCAAATAACCGCGGAACGGATTATCCTTCGGTTTTTATTACGCTGTCAGAGTACGAGCAATCGAGGACTCCGCTTAAACGTAAAAGAGAAACATGGACGACATCAAAGCGTCCTCATCAATCCTATGACACCGAGGATTTTGATTCAAGTTTTGATGGAAATCCAGCAAAATGTGAGGCGTCTTTACTCCCTGTCCCTTTGGAATTTGAACAGTTGACGAGATAGTATGATGTAAGGTTTCACACTGGCCTGCCATCGACTAACAGTTTTAAGTGTGTATTTGAATACCTGGCTGTTTCTTCTCCTGGCTGTTAAGTCGCCATACATAATAATAAAAACAGCAATGTCACTTTACAAATAATTGGAAATACTAATAAGAGTTTGCCGTAGAATAGTTCCTCGTGATACTTGCTGATACATGTGCGTGTGTTGCGAACTCAAGAACATCGCTCAAACGACGGTCAAGTTGTTCAAAGTAAACAAATGTTTTCTTTAACTTTCCGCTTTTTGATTACCACAAAATTGGACTCACGTGTATAAAACATCGCAAATAATAATTCAACTATTAAAATGGACGAGTTTGAGAAATATTTTTGAAAGAAATGGCCAATATGTATACGGGTAATTATTGCGCATTTATTAGTAATTTATATGGACGCCATGCGTGACCGCGCGCTCGGCCCAATGTTTTTGCACCCCCTGTAATATGGCTGCGATAACCTTGAAAAGGTCTATTTCGATCCCGCCTTCAAAAACGATTCCGTTGGTCGGAAAGCAGATTTTTCTTCATCTTTTTAGCTCGACCTGTTTCCTCCATTGATTTCTTCGTTTTCCTTTCGCCTTCGTAGACGGGAGAAACCTTTGTAGGAAGCTGCAACTGTTTCAATTCGTGCATCTCTATTTTCAAAGTCGAATTTAATTCTTCGCCTTCTTCTGGCGAGTGTGCATCTGCAGAATCTCCATTGACTCCAATGCGAACATACGATTCGTAGAGTTCTTCAACATTCGCACGTAGATTCAAGTTCTCAGATTGGAACTAAAACATTCGATTGTGATTGGCTAAAAGCTTACGGATGACTGTAATGGCGGAAAAG